GTCAGGTAAAGGTCATGAAGGAGTCGTTTATTTTGTGGACAAAGAATGAATACTTCATATTTTTTCGAGAAATATTTTCATTAAACATTAACAACTAATAGAAAATTACGAACATGAATTGCTCGAATTAATGAAGTTTGTCTTTTCTGAAATAATCTAAAATTCTCTGTAACTTTCTATTCTATGTATCGAATGAAGTTACAAGTGTTACAGTTAGACAAATTGCGAAATTAATATTCACGTTTTTAAATTCTTGGGTAAAATGTCAAAATGACAAGAAGGAATAAGGATTTTGGCAGGCGACGTTATAAAATGATGTAAGTTTTTAAAACATTACAATATAAGTAAATGGCATTAAGCGCTTATTAATAAATATGGTTAGAATGAATGAAACGATTAAAAATTAGGCAACCTTATCTTTTTCTACTTCGTTGATTTTACCAAATTATCAAGTGCTATATTGCAACATTAATTGAATATACTGGTATCGATATACTCAAAATTCATAAAAATTATTTTTTATAAATGTAGAAATTATTGCCATATGTTATGGTAAATTTACGAAGCTAATGTAAACTATATCATGTAAAAACATTTATTTTAGCATTTTTGGAATGAAATGAAATCAATATAAAATTTTATAAGAATTGAACATTTATGATATTTTCAATGTTACGATAAAAGCTTCTGAAAAATTTTGATGCTCATATCAATCAGATTCTATACGCATCTAGTGATAATGGTTTAATAGCTTTTTTTTTTTCTTTAGAAATGAAATTTCATCGGTTTAAAATTCAAATGTGATCGTGGATTAACCTGAGCACTGAAGTTTATCCTTTTTTTTTTCGAAAAGTTTAAATTAGTTTTCTGATTTTTCTGTTTTATGAATGTTTTATAGTGGCTAACGAGCAAAATATTTGTTCTGGAATATAGTCAATGATAATATCAATGGTTTTATCATTTGCTGTTTTCAATTGTTTAAGGGAATAATGCATTTGATATACTAAAATGATAAATATGCACTTATTAGATTCTTTCAAAATTTGAACAATTGGATTAACCTGAATGGATGTATTTTTGTTGCAACTATTTTGAAATTATGATAAAGTTCTATTTAATCTCATAAATTAATAAATTATGAGAAATTGTATTTAATATACAAATTTTGCACTATTATAACATCTGCTATTTCCATTTAATGAATTACTTCTTGTGGTAAAATAAAAATAAACATTCTATCTATGCATTTGGAAAGCGCATTATAAATGCCAACGTGAAAGGGAAGTCAACGCAGTAAACATCACTACTACTGATAAATTTAATTTAATGCCAGTAATTCAAACTTTTACAAAACAAAAAAGAACGCTCTAATATCGATAGTGACAAAATAAAAACTGATAATCATTTAAAAAAACAATAATTTTAGTTAAAAAGTAACATTTTGTATCATTTTGATAAATCACGTCAAAAAATTACGCTCTTCTATCAATGAATCACTTTAAATGATTTTCACGTTAAAGTTACGTTAAAACAGATGCTATTCAGAGATAATTTTGAGAGAAAAAAGTTATCAATTGCTTCTAAAACATGAAATCTCTCTTTGCAATTATCATTTCAAATTATCTAACTTTACTAGATGTAAGCATTAAAAATTATTGATAAAGTAAATTTAGTACTGATAAAGTGAAGCTTATCTGATTTGATCTATTCTCATAGTCTTATCAATCATTTTGGCGCATTTTATCATCAATCAATATTTGCTACAAACAATAAATAAATAAATATCTACGTGAAATGGATAAAATTGTTTAAATTTACTTTAATGTGAACATTGCACATTATTTATCTTTCAACTTTTATCATCACTTTTACTTCATTTCATTCATCATTTATTCATTTTTTTTTTTCAGATAGGAAATTAAATGAATAAATAGAAATCAAACGAATTTATCACTTATCATTAATTACTTTATTTTTTCATTCTAACCAAAGGAATTCTTATGAGTTACTTAAAATATAAAATTAACTAATCAAATTTAATATCCTCATTAGGTTGCAAAACCTTATCGTCATTCATCATCCTTAAAGTAAACTTCCCTGTACGTCACGTGACACAAGTAACGAACGTTGACATATTACGTGATCGTGAATGATGATCTATTAACTTTTATAGTATTTCAAAAATTTAAACTGAAAGGGAATGTAGCTAAGTGGTATTTCAAACGAGCGAGCTGATTGATGTAGTTTAACGAGCGATTTCATTGCATTTTATCCCGAAATTATTTACCCGGGAAATAAGTGTGTGATCAATCTTGACACAACGGGCAGTTTCTAGGGTAATTATTTGCCCATACTTTTGATCTATTTAATTGATCGATCGATCGATTAACTAATTGTATTGCTGATGAGTTGTGTCATTATTAAATGACTAAAATTTATAAGTCTAAAAAGAAATTTTAATTTAATTTTTATTCCTTTTCATATATCAAATTCACAACTGACAGAGAGTGTTAGTCTTATTTAAAATGAAACATATTAAATTGTATAAAAATATTAAATTATAACTGAATTCTCTTCTACCAATTGTCACAATCAAATTGACATTAATTCAGCGATGTTATATTATTCATTCAAATTTTTCTTCTCATTTTCAATTTGATCCAGGAAAAATCCCTGAAAACATCCCTGAATCGATCATATTTTATAGGTATGAATTGTGTGTGTACGTGTGTGTGTGTGTGTGTATGTGTGTCTGTCTGTGTGTGTGTGTGTGCACATGTGCCTGTCTGTGCATTTATCCCCAGGTGTGAATTTGGTCGTCTGTCTGGGTCTGTGCAATCTATCGATGTAACGTGTGTGTGTGTGTGTGTATATATGTATGTTTGCATGTGTGTGTGTGTGTGTGTTTATGTGTGTGTCTGCTTTCATGTGTGTATGTGTGAGTGCGTACGGCGTACGTGTATGTGTGTGTGTCCTACTATATATGTCTGTGTGTACGTAATATTTGTCTGTGTATATATGTGTGTGTGTGTCTGTCTGTCTGCATGTATATGCCAATTCTTATAAGCGGATCATTATGTACATCTTTGCAAGTTTGATGTGTGTGTGTGTGTGTGTGTACATGTATCATATGTATGTGTCTGTCTACGGTGTGTACGCGCGCGTGTGTGTGTACCGTTGTGTGTCATATCAGTGACTTGCTCATTTGGAGTGGTGTGTGTCTGTCTGTCCCTGGGGTCTGTGTGTCTGTCTGTCTGTTCATGTTGGCCATGTGGATTTTCTGCTGTCTGTCTGTCAAGGAAAGATGATGTGCATGTATGTGTGTGTGTGTCTGTTTGTGTGTGCACACATAACACATAGGTGTGTCTGTGCATATGGGTGTGTCTGTGTATATGAGTGTTTATATATATGTGTGTATATATATATATATCTGTGGGTATAATATGTGTGTGTGTGTGTTGTCTGTTGTGTGTTGTGTATGTGTGTGGTGTGTGTGTGTGTGTGGTGTGTGTGTGCATATAATTTACGAGAATTATGTAATGTTTTAGGATCTGGAAATGAAGTTAGGGTGACATTCTGAACTTGAAATGAAGTTAGGGTGACATTCTGAACTTGAAATGAAGTTAGGGTGACATTCTGAACTTGAAATGAAGTTAGGGTGACATTCTGAACTTGAAATGAAGTTAGGGTGACATTCTGAACTTGAAATGAAGTTAGGGTGACATTCTGAACTTGAAATGAAGTTAGGGTGACATTCTGAACTTGAAATGAAGTTAGGGTGACATTCTGAACTTGAAATGAAGTTAGGGTGACATTCTGAACTTGAAATGAAGTTAGGGTGACATTCTGAACTTGAAATGAAGTTAGGGTGACATTCTGAACTTGAAATGAAGTTAGGGTGACATTCTGAACTTGAAATGAAGTTAGGGTGACATTCTGAACTTGAAATGAAGTTAGGGTGACATTCTGAACTTGAAATGAAGTTAGGGTGACATTCTGAACTTGAAATGAAGTTAGGGTGACATTCTGAACTTGAAATGAAGTTAGGGTGACATTCTGAACTTGAAATGAAGTTAGGGTGACATTCTGAACTTGAAATGAAGTTAGGGTGACATTCTGAACTTGAAATGAAGTTAGGGTGACATTCTGAACTTGAAATGAAGTTAGGGTGACATTCTGAACTTGAAATGAAGTTAGGGTGACATTCTGAACTTGAAATGAAGTTAGGGTGACATTCTGAACTTGAAATGAAGTTAGGGTGACATTCTGAACTTGAAATGAAGTTAGGGTGACATTCTGAACTTAAAATATTGTCACCTCACGCCAAATCATTGAGTTCTTGTCATTGAATTTTGATTTTGTTCAATTTAGGTGTTCGTTACGTGAATTTTATTTGTGGAATTCAAAACATCCCAAAGAATTGGCTTTTCATTCTTCAATTCACACAGTCACTATGATGACGCCGAAAGGTGCGTGAATTTACGTACTTTCATTTATTGATGCCACTAGCAAAGTTACAATTTAAAAGAAAATTTAGCATTAAACAACTTTCGAAAATTCAAAATTTCTAATAAACAGAAACGAAATGCATACGTTTTCCTGTCATTCTGAATCTGAGATAAATGACCGACCGGACGCATTCAAATTAAATTCCAAAAAAAGATTTGTCGTCGAGTAATTGCAGTTTAGCTAGTGGTATCGTTGTCATTCTATGCTTAGTTATTTATTTCAGTACTTTCATTCACTGAAATACATTTTGATGAAATTTTATGAAATGATTTCGATGATTAATCGATATTCATCATTGGATTAATCAATCATTCATAAATATTTATTATGGATTAAGATGACATCGAGTACGACAATAAGTAAACTTATGTGACAGAATAATTTTCTTTTCGTCATTTCATTTCCTCTATTTCATCAATAAGAGAGAGAGAGAGAGAGAGAGAGAGAAAAAAAAGAATCAAATTTTTAGTTCAATTAATTTTTCAGGTCATATGATTGCAAATGGCGCAGATGGGAAAATTGAATTAAGTGATGAATTAAAGGTAGCAATAGCAACTGAAGTTCGCGCACAAATTGTGCCAGTGGTCAAGGAGATAGTTCGTGAGGTGGTCACTGAGATACGAAGTGTGATGACCGAAGTAATGGCACCAATTTATGATGAATTGAATCGTCTTCGTAGCACCACTACCGCCACCACAAATGGCGGTAATGCGAATGCTTTACAGTTGCATGCAGCTTCTGCAGTTGGAACTTCAATTGCAACACCGGCGACAGTTGTTGCATATCCATCTGAGAGCGCAATTTTAGCGGAAGTTTATGCAGCAACAAGTAATGTAGCAGTAAGTATGGGTGGTACTGCATGTGCAGATGCTGCTACAGCTGCTGCAGTTGCTGCACAAAATGCACAATTGCAGCAATTTCTAAAGGTTTTCATTTTTGCTACATATTTTATAATCTGTAAAAGTTTGACCTGGAATACACATTTTAAAAAGTTTGAATAAATGTTAGAATGAGTTAAATAATTTTAAAATAAATCTAAAATAAAGTAGACAAATATTCCTCTAAAAGTTAGTTAGCATTCAATGTATAGAAACTTACCTAAGAGATACCCAAAATTTCTTTTTAGGAAAATGCTGGCAGTACTTATGATCCAAATAAAGGTAAAATGTATATTGAAGATGGCATTGCTACTAAAAGTCCGGAAGATTTTGTTGAGTAAGCATTTCATTTCTAGCAATCTTCGATGCTTATTTTAATTTCTTTTTTTTTTTTTCTTTGGTAATTATTTTGAAACTTTTTTAAAACAAATTCATTTTCAGGCAACCCAGTGAACCGCGTGCACGTGAATCGACAAGCGATTGTGCTGCATACAATTATGTTTATTACAATACCGCTTCTGCAGTACCAATTATGTCAATGTTGGAACCCGGAAGGTATTAATTTTATCATGAAAGTCATAGAATGCATACTTTATCATTGCATGCATTTGCAGAATTGATAAATAGTATTTATTAAGTAGTTAAATATTTGAAAAAGATTTTAAAAATGGAAATAACATTTTAATTGATTGAGAAAATTTTGAAAGTATTTTTAGAAGATGCATTTTTTTTTTTTTTTTCAGTAATACATGTGTTTGTCAAAAAGTACCCAGTATATATCTTGGTAAAGAAGGTGGCAAAATTTCATTTCTTGTTGATACACGAACAGTACCATTGAAAGATCTTACTGCTGATAATCTAGGTAGATGATCTTTTTTACATTATTTTTATTAAAAATTATTTTATTCTTTCACTTTAAAACTATTTTATATTAACGTTTGAATGAGTTAATTTTCAGGAAGTTGGACATGTCGTTTTACTGCTCATATGAAATCTCGAAAATATATGGTGAAAAAAGGTAAAGTAATAGGTTATGTAAAACAATATGGTCAAGTATATTCGGTACCGCATGATTATGATTATATCTTGCATCGTCAATATTATTGTCATGGTAATACCATTGGTCCGGCAACAATTCGGAAGAATATTTGGTATTTGTCGAATAAATTACATGGTGGTGAAGTTATTGGTTGTGCTATCATTTCCTATGAAATTGGTGATAATGCAACAGTGAAAATTTCAAAATTACGACAACGAACTCTTCTCAATAATTCATCCGAAAATTTGCGTCTTTTAAAAGCTGAAATTTCCGCAACACCGGAAGAGATGGATGTTAACAATGTGACAATGAATCCAAATGCGGAATTGCAACGATTTGTGAGTAATATTCAAGTACCACAGCAGTAATTTCAAAATTATCTCTTTCATTCTAGTGATATCTCGTTAATTATCATTACATTGTGAAAGAGCAGAAATCAATTATCTATAAGTAATTATGTTATTTTAAGATTTATTAATTTACATAAGATTTATTTTAGATATAGCATGCTAATTTTTTTAAAACATTTTAAAATTGATGACCAATTATTTAATCCCTAATAAATGAAATCCTTCTGAAAGAGTGTGCACTTACTTTTCCTGCCTTTGTGACACTCAAAAAAAAATGTTTGTTTTAATAAACTTTTTTATTTATATAAATGATATTTTGTTGCCATAAGTTTTCATTTTTTGTTCCATTTTTTTTTTTGTTTTCAGAAATATATTTGCCAATTGATGTTAGCAAAAATTGTCGTTAAGTCTTTATAAAAATTTTTTTTATATCTTTAATACTTTTTCATATATCATTTTTCTAATTTAAATATAGCATCATAAATATAACTTTAGCATCTGTTGAATTCTTTTTTCATCTTTTTAGTTCTCTCTAATAATAATAAGAAAAAAAAAAAGAGCTGTAAAACGAAAGGAAATTGATGACATATATTAGTGAGACATTTTGCACTTCATTGTTCTCTAATAAATTTTGTCTCTAAATTAGCTTTTTTTTTTTATCTCTTATTTTTATTTTCCCTGATTCCCAATATAATTATTTCTAAGTTTTATTATCAATCTTTATTTTTAGTACTCAAAAGATTGTTTTTACATACATTTTTAATTTCATTTGCTTCATGTTTAATGTTTATTATTACTATTATTATTATATTGTTCATTAGCAATTACTGTTGCATATTTCTTTTCTTTTTTGAATAATTTTTAATTTTATTAATTTTTCTCCTCTGTTCATTCTTTTTTTGAATAATTTTCAGTTTTATTAATTTTTCTGCTCTGTTTATTCCTTTTTTTCCTTCCTTTTCTTTTTCTAAAACAGCTCTTGTGCTTTCCTATTTTTTTTTTAAATGAATTTTTCCAATTTGAACAATTTGATATATTTAGGAAATTGTAAATATTATTGTAATCAGTTTTATACATATATGATTTCTACTAATGTATATTCTCTTTGAATATTTTAAGTTCTTAAAAAAAAACAAACAAAACAAATGCTTTTTGCTATGCTAATCGAAAAGTGTAGATTTCATTGATGGGAAAATATGCTGAATTAAACTTATTAAATATACTATAAGAGGAAAGTGAAAGTTTATAGCAACAATTAAGGATAAATTTTTGAAAAAGAAAATTTTTTTCAAATTTTCGGAATCTAATAAAATAAATTGAAATGATATTAATAGCAAACAATAACTAACTGATATTATGAGATTTTATATTTTACACATCTCAAATAGTTGCACAATTTTTGCAACAATAATTTATTGTATTTCATGTTCGTAATAAAGTAAGGCTAAAAGAAAAACACAAAAATTTTATGACAGCAAAAAAAAAAGGAACAACAAAAAAAAAAGGTAAAATTTATTTGCTTTTAATAGAAGTGAAATTTAAATGAAAAAAAGAAAAAACTTCAAGTTATCTAATTACTTTCTTTTTTTTTGGTAGAATAGAATTTAGAATAGAATTTAGATCATAGAATAGAATTTAGAATGTAAGAAAAAATATTAAAATTAACTGAAAAAAAAAACGATATCTAGAGGAAGTGCAAAAATCAAACTTTTCAACATGAATTAACAAAATAAAGCTTTCACAAAAAGGAAACAAACAAATTATTACAATTGCATAATATATCAATTAAATAGTATGACCCAGTTGTTTACTCAAAAGTACATTTGGTAAAATATAAAAGTAAACTATTAGTAAAATATTTGTTAACATTTTAAATCGAAGTATATGGCATTTGAGACAATTAAACACTGTGATATAATCATTTGTAGTGTAACAAAAAAAAAAAAAAAAAAATAACAAATTGAAAAAAAAAATTAAAAATAAATTTAGTGAGCTTTAAAATTTCGCAGGATTATTTGCACTGATACAAGGAAAGTTAATTATAAGCATTGATGCTAGAGATTTGCATTTGAATGCAGCATTTTTTAGAGAGTAGTAGATAAGATAAAAGTAGAAGAAATATCGCTTTTCAAAATTAAATTTTATTTATTTTTTGTAGTAGATACCATCTGATGAATAATCTGAAATGGAAAATTGATAATTTTTGAAAAAGGAAAAAAGTTTGATCATAGCTGTTGAAATTTTAATGTAATGATAATAATTTCTCAATAAAATATAAATGTATGCATATAGAATTAGTGATAATTTTATAAATCTATTTATCTAATTTAAATTCTATCAATAATTGTATAAGCAATTTATTTAGATTAATTAAAATTTATTCTATACAATTATCATTGATATGTAACTTTTGTGATACATTAAATTTTTGCTCGCCAAATCAGAATTACGAATTCATATAAATTAAAATTGACATTCTTGATTGATCATTTATGTTTCATTAATTTATGTTTAATCAGAATTTTTTCATTTTATCAATTTTATTTTCATATCAATGATATTAATCAATTTTTTATCAAAAATATGCAAAAAAAAAGAGAAAAAAAATTACTGCTTATTAACTAACATGCATAATTATTGATTGTTTCACTTCTTAATTGATCAAACAAATTTACAAATATTCGTTTTCAATTCATTTTAATAAATTCCAATAAAATTATGAATAAAATATATTTGTTAATCCATAACAATATTTATTTAGCTTAGCTGTTCTGTTATTATTTCATTGATTGATTCATCATAAAAATATGGACGAAGTAAGAAAGCAATCTGAAATGATCCAATTCGTTTTAAAAATTCTTTAACATCGTTAAAAAAAAAAAAAAAAAACCACTAATTAATAATATTCGATTATTAAAATGAGAGAAAAGTTAAGAATAACATTTAATTTAATGTATTTTCATATAATCTTACGCAAAAATTTTCATCTAATCATCAATCACATTCACTCATTTAATCCTCTTAAACGTACATTTTCACGTATCTTCTCGAGATCTACGGTTAACTGTTTCTCGTCTGTAATATACGAATGAAAGTTAAGCACCTGTAAAAAGAATACTAATATAAATTACAATTCAAATTATATCTAAAAGTTTTTAGCATCATTAAGAAAAGTCATTCAAATATTTTTTTTTTCACATTTTCTATTTCGAACAACAAAATTTTATTGAGCTGTAGTCAGTTTTTCTGAATTAATACTTCCTGCTCTAATCATTATAAATACATAAGATAATTTTCCGGTGTATAAATAAGAATATGAAAAATGGTTAATGTTTGGAGAGTTAAAAAAAAAGAGACAAAATAGACCTCATCATAAATTTTACTCCCTGGAAATGAGCAATTTACAAACATCATTTCTAATGAAATATCATTATCCATCTTTTCCGGTTCCCATACGGTTCCAATACTTTTCACCGTATTATGCGTAGTAATACTTCGACAGTTAAGTATATCCTAAAAATACTTCAAATTCAAAATTGAAGAGAGAAAAGTTTTTTATTTCCAGTAGTAATAAAATAAGTATTAGTTGCAGTAAACTAATATTTTTAATTTAGATCATTTCTAAAACGATAAAAATATATTAGAATTAATTTATTTTACAACATTGGTATTATAATTGCTATTACAGTCTTAAATTAAATTAAATTTGCATAATGTAAATAAGAGAAACTTAATTTTGCTTTCTGTATAATTTCATCTTCGCTCAATTCAATATTATTCAAATAAACAAGATCAACAATCAACGATGGAATTGAAACTGGTAAAATTTCACATAATGGACTGTAATGATTATATCGCTGCCAACCGGTTAAAATAATACCCGAAATTTTACCATTCAAATCCTGGAAAAATATAAAATTTCTTTGAATTATTACTTCACAAATCTTTATAACTCATCTAAGATAATTTACAACAGATAAAAGATCACCCACCACCACCATCTATCTCATTTAATCTTAGAATTTTATTTTCAAAAATTTCTAATGCTTTTTGATAAAATTAGTAAATAAATAAATAAATAAATACCTGTTTTTCTTTTTCATACAATTCCACATATGATTGTTGATTAGCAAGATAACGTCTAATATAACAAAATGATTCATTTTGTCCATTTGCACCTTTGAATGCACTTGCAAACATCATTTTTGGAAAAACCTAATATTTAATTTAATTCAAACAAAAATTTTTCAAAAAAAAAAAAAAAAAAATTTAACCAAAATGCAGTCGTATATATACATATCTTAGAAATAAACAAAATTAAAATTAAAATTTTTATTGTTTAATAAATTAATTAACCATATAATAAAAACCAGAACCTGTGAATATCTTTTAAACATATTTATCGGGAAATAATTCAATTTAGTAACATTAACAGCATAACCCCAAATAACAGGTGTAACCAATTCACCCATTTCATATTGATTCAATAAATCAATTTCAATATCACTGAACATATCATTCCATACTAGCACTTCCGCAAAATTTAACTCACTTCGAGCATATCTTGCTACCCTTGCAAATAAAAAAAAAAAAATCAAAAAAATCAAAAATTAATTTTATCAATGAATTTAATAAAATTAATCTGATTATCAGCTGTTATTTATTTATAAAAATTGATATCGTTTATTGATATAAGATCTAAATATTCTAATAAACTCTGTATAACGTCCTTTAAAAAAAAAAAAAAAAATTCTTTTATAATATTTTTTCTTATTGCTATTTTTAGGAATATAAATGAAAAGAAAAAAAAAAAAAGTATGAAAAAAGATAATTTAAATCATTACATTTTAAAAGTTAATATTAATTAATTTATGAAGTATTACATATATTATATTACAAATATTTAATTTTGGATTAAAATTACATTTAAAATTATTGTAGTATAAGTTAGTAAAAGATGAAATATTCATTACCTGCTAATATGATCCAATTTTAAATGATCCATCGTAAAACTTAAACTTTCCATACGTCGATTAATACATCGAAAATCTTGACCAATAGTATATACTTCGTCAGCACCTATATGTATTCGTTTTGCATTTGGATGCATAATACGTATCTAAAAAAGAGAGAAAAAAACTCCCACATAATATTTACTAAATAATATTTATTAAAGTAAAGTAATAGTTTTAATTTTAATACTTATTAAATATTTCATAAAGTAAAATAATAGTTTTAATAAATATAAATAAATTTATATTTCATTTTAAAGAAAACAATTCACATTTCCAACAGTTAATAAATCATTAAATCATATTTTGATAATATAATAGTTAAATTTATACAAATTATCTATCAATTAATCAAACCTGAGTGAGCATTTCAGTAATTAAATGCCATGAACCTTCATCTGATGGACATATTGTATCATGCTTAAATATATCCTCACGATATATAGAATATTTCGAATGTTTCAAAACAAATTCCATATGACCAAAAGTTTGTACAAGTGGAATAACTTCCAAATTATTATTAGATGCTAACTGTAAATATACAAATGAGAGTATGAGTAAATTTAATAAATAGTTTAAAGAATTAAACAATAAAATAAATGATTAAAATTTCGCCAATTATGTGACAATTATTTGATAATAATAAAACAATGAAAATTTCAATTTATTCTTCCTTTTTTTTTTTTTTCAGGATTGAATTAATCCTTAAATAAAGCTTTAATACATATTAATTCTTAATTCTTATGAATCTGATTTCTTTTAAACATTTAAGTGATACCATTATCGGATTATCTTACAGAAATTATCATACGTAGTAGTAATATGCTATTCCATAAAAAAATATCATTTCCGGAACACTTCTGTTCATTAGTCACTTTTATTGATAGCTATGTTTTTAATTCTTGAATAATTGGATTGATAGAATTACTCGTAATTTATCAATTGTTTACAATTAACGCTTAACTAATGCAAAACAAATTTTCAGAGTCTAATAATATTTGCTTTAAATTAATTACGGAATGAGTCCTATCAATTACAATTGTTGTCAATGCTTTAGCAGTGCAATAATTAATCCAGATTTTAAATTTAAGACATTATTGAGAGAACGTTTCTACATATTTACTGCAATTAAAGAATTTAAGAATTATTTCGATGAATAAATAAACTATTTGAGAGTTTATATTATCTATGGGAAATCATTATGAAAATTTTTGCAATCATTTGGATTGTTTGTTTGGGAATTACCAATTGTTTCCTTTTTTTTTTCTCCTCTTATTGCATTTTCAATTTTGTGAAATCATTGGAAATAGTTATTTTCCCAAACATTGCAAAAAAAAAAAAAAGGAAAAAGGAAAAAAAAAAAGAGAGATGCATTTGACAAACAATATTTCATTTTTGAAAATTTTTTCAAATGAGATTGACAATGAGATGAGCTCATCTAATTATATCAATAATGATCATTATTACTATCTTTTCTTTTTCTTTTGTTGTTGCTACTAATGCATATATTAAAATTAAGAGAGGTAAACTTTTTTCTATTTAAAATTCAGAGCGCTAAATTTCAAATCAATGTTTAAAATTGAATAGAAAATTACAAAATAAGTAATAAAAATTGCAAATCAATTAATTTATTTGCATTTTCTTTTATGTTTTATTTTAAATATAGCAATTAGTTTAAAATTAATTTTGTAAAAAAATAACAAATTGCTAGAACAAATTAGAAAAATAGGAAATTTGATCAGTAAAAATAAAAAATTAACCTCTAAAATAGCTTTTAAAATAGTCTTAGAATAAGCAATTGTTCGTTTCAACACAGTAAGTTCATTCCAATATGGAAACATATCTTCATATTCCATTAATATACCATCAACTTTCATTTTTTTCAACAATGGAAATATCTTCTTGTAGTATTTCAATGTTGGCGGTGCTCCTTTTAAGTCGAAATGGACTATTTTCTAGAAAATTAAATGTATGAAATTGCGCTTTGAGCAATCATCGTCCTTTCTTTTTTTTTTTCAAAGAGAAAAATAAATAAAAGCAAATTAAATTTTTATTTGGAAAAAAAAAGACTAAATTTTCAATTGGAATTTATGAGGTAAATTCAATTCAAAATTTCAATTCGATGTTACTATTTTGTGTTATAATAGATCAAAAAAAAAAAGCAATGGAAAATATTATTTTCCAATTTTATGCGATATTCAAATAATATTTATACTTAATGTAATATCGATTATTGTTATTTATCTACTATGTACTATTTATCTTTTAAATTTGAAGAATGCAAGAAAGAAAGACGATGTATTCAAATAATTTTTTAAATTATTTGAATACATAAAGAAGGAATATAATAACTTTAAGTATTTTCACTTTTGGTTTGAAAAATTTTAACTTGAAAAGTTTTCATTGAAGCTCAGATCTTCGTTTCGTATAAACATCACTCATAAATTATGTGAAAAATTAACAAATAATAAATTTTTAAATCCTTTTATTGCTAAATCTGAAATGGTACCACTAATTTTTAACTCTCCCATGTAAAAATAACAACTGGTAAAGTAAAATTAAGAAAAATGAGAAACGATTAAAATCAAAATTCTTTCTTCTACTTTTTACAATTATTCATTTTTTTTTTATTTTCCTCTAATCTTTATAATATTTATATAAATTTTTATTTTGTTCCATTTTATCAAATTCAATCACAGTGAAAAATCATATCAAAATATCACTCAGTTTTACATTCTTGAAATTTCCATTAAAAACATTTAACATTGAGCGAAAACAATGTAAAATATGAAATAATAGTTTAATAAATAATGATATAATAGACAAAAATTTGAAATATTTTTCAAAAAACTCGAGAGATTATTATTATTTCTTTTTTTTTTTAAATTAAATGCTATTTGTTAGTATTTAATAGATGTTATTAGTATTGGAATAATTTCTTTTTAATTAAATTAAAATAATTAAAATGATATTTTAAGAAAGAGAAAAGTTACAAGCAAAAATAAAAATAAAAAACAAACAAACTTCTTTGAATGGATTTAATTGATCAAAATTCTTTTGACTTCCAAGCATTTCGAATGATACGGCAGATCTTGCGGTAATACAAAAATATAGCACATTGATTAGAAATAAAACACATACAATGGATGTTCGTATAAGATAATTCTGTCCATGTACATTTAACATAATCAATTTTTTCCAATCTTTTTTATCTAAACTAATTTCTAACAATTTAACAATTTTCCTTATGCAATTTTATTTTGTGCAAAAATTTGAACTTAAATTAATTTCAAAATTAAATATGAATTTAACTGATACTAATGTATGAAAGTTTTATTAATATTATTTGTTTTAATAGAGTGATTTTTTAGTATTTTATATTATAATATAATTTATTTAAAACTTAATGCATAATTAATTAAGTCACACATGTATAATATGTAAATATATGTATGAGCAAACTTCTGATGCCATAAATTATTTTTTAATGAGTGTAAGATTTAAAGTTGGTTAAATTTATTGAACAATTTGCTTGTCCATCTAATAAGGAAGATATGATGAAAGTTACACAAGAATAATTTAAAATTATCATTTAAAATTTATTGTTTAGTTAAATATATTATATTTTTTGCATAATAGTCATTCATTATCATTTATAAAATCAATTGAAATAAAATGAAAATGTTATAGCAAAGAAAATTAAAAAAAAAAAAAAATTATTCATAGCGAGATGAGAAAACATCATCTTATCTTCTCAGATGAAAACCTGAAAATTTGAATTAAGCAAATTTTGTTATGTCTAGAAGTTGAAATTTGTTTTTAAAATCAGTTCAGAGTTCAAATTAAATTCGCCAGTTGATTTTTTGGAAAATTTGAAGTCGAATTTATTCCTTTTCTTTTTCAATATACATAATTTCACTGAGAAAAGATATTTCGAGGAAATAAGCAGGAAAATAAAAACTGATTGCAAATAATGATTCATTTTATTATTTACTTCTTTTATCAAAAAATATTGAAGAACAAAACACATTTCATTCATTTAGAACTTTTAGTTATTTCTTCATAAGAGAAACTTGAAAATCATAAGAAATCTTAGAAATGCATAATTTTCAGGTTTAGATTCTAAATCTTAATTTTTGCTAAGTTAAATTTAAATTTTAGATGCTGAGTATGCGTAGCCAGTTAAGATAACGTATGGGACACTTGCAATATTAGCCTAGGAGCCAGATTCTCATTCAATGGATGGATCAGGTCATGAAATGCAGATACAAGTACAAGTATAGGCTTTTTAACTACAGTAATGATGACAGACACATACATACATACACAAACACTTTAAGAGCTGAAACTACTTTGCACTAGATTTGCCCTCTCACAAATCTTCGCTACCAGTCAAAATGTCTTTTTCTGGTCAATTTCTCTGGAAAGAATTTTTTGAATGCAATCAATCTAATTGAACGATAATGTTACAATGCCAGAATGGTAGAGAATAAAAAGTTTGAAATTTGACTCAAAAATGAGTTTGAAAACTCACTGTCAGAAATCTTCTGGGACATAGCTGAATTCCAATGCATCGAAGAAAATAACTTTTAACGCAAATTTAGACTCAAATATGACGAACAATTAGATAGCACAGACTTGTAGTTTAGTTCAATTCAAATTAGACTGTCACATATACAATCTAGGCCAGAATGTTGAACATAGCTATTAGTAAGAGTAATGATTGGAATCTTTACCACAACAGTAACACTTCATAAATATTTATATGAGTCAGCAAAATAATGCTCTGTTTTTGAATCAACTTACCCAGAAAAAAAAAAAAAAAAGAGTGACAGCATGATGATAAAATGTTGATCCACTTTTGTACTGATTATCAAGTGGAGAAATTTTCACTGATCACAACGATGTTAATAAACAGAAGTATCATTTCACTTATAACAAATGTTTCTCATCACTTTTCATGCAGTCTACGTCTAAAGCTAAGGAGTTATATTTTGAAATTGAAAACGATAGCCTGATTTCTTGAAATGAATTTTCATTCTAAAGTTATCAATATTCAAAAAAATCCTAGTATATATATAAAAGAGGAAGAACAAGTGGCACTTATAGAAAAGTTACTCGCATAAACTCTGAGAGACAGATATAACTTTCTGCTTATTAAAAACTGAGCATGGTCCAACCTAGTAGAACTAATCTCAAGAAATAACTGATTCAATAATACTTAGAGGAGAAAAAAGAAAATTAATCTACAAGGAAAGAAAAAAGGAAGTTTGACATATAAACAGCCTACATTCCACTTTAAAGTGATTGTGAAAATGATGCATTAATTAAGATTTATTATTTTGAAAATTACCTCAATCGATGAATTCAGTAAGGAAATTCAAGACCTGCACTGATAATTATTATCTTGAGAGCTTAAAAAACAATTTTATAAAAATTAAAAGATTTTCGAACCCAGAATCTTAACATGTACATATTTGGATGAAACAACAAGCTATACACCCCACATTAATGTGATAATTCAGATAGATTTCAGAAAATTTAAAAATAAATTCAAATCCCGTATAGAAAAGTAAAAAAAAAAAGAAATGAAACAATTCGACAAATTCAATCTACATTTTAAAGAAAGACAAATAAAATACAAGCATAAATTGTAATCAAAGCACCATCGATTTTATAGTGAAATAAGAAAAGGAAGTTCTGCGATCTTTGATATCTCACCATTAGTAAACAAGAAACCATCTTCTAACAAGATGCACTATCGATACATTACATAAACCTTCCATTTTTTTTTTTTCTTTATTACTAATGATAAATTTTCTGCTATGAAACAAAAAATCATTCTTCTCTAAGTTGTAGCAAAAAAATAAAAGGTTGAATTCTGAAAATTTGAAGGACTTCACACCTTCTGAGAAAACGAAGCAAAATAGATCTTGTTTATAGTAGTAAGAAACATAAATCATTTAAATCATCCAGTTATACTTTCCCATCGCAAAATACAGGTCTTATTTCATATTAAAGGAAAAAGAAAGTGGAACATCTATTTTGCATTAATTAGAAATCGATAAGGACGGACTAGTATTTCGTTGCAGAAATAATGAAATTAATAGATGTTCGTCTAAATTAACATTTCACTATGACTATGTTCTGCCGTATGAACAAGAATAGAGCACAGAACGACGGAGTTGACACTAAAAAAAAGAAAAAGTAGAAGTACTATAAGCTAAATACGTCCTCCTATACAAATATATATATATTCAAAAATAGCTCAGGAAAATTATTTAACTAATAAATTAGTTGAATAGAATCAATTAAACAAAAGACAAATAGAATAAATAGTTCACCATTCTTTAAACTAAAAAATTAGCACAGTGAAGAAATGAACAATATTTTATGGCAAAAGGATGATAATGAATGTACAATAAACAAAACAACAATTGTTTAATCGAAAAGTTTCGTTATTCGGCTTTTTGCTTCCTTCAAACGATTAGTTTTTACGCTAGCATTACTCTTTGAGTCTGATGATGTAGGGAAAGCACCAAGCACATGCACTTGCTTTCCATTTGTTCGTACAAAGCTAGACAATTGTGGTCCAAAATCATAAGTACTTTCATTGGATAGCTGAGAAATATCCTAGAAAAGAGAATAATGGAAACAATTCTTTCAAATTTCTTTCAAATTAGTTTCTTTCAAATTTTCTTTCAAATTAGTAATAAATGACATTATTTACGACATCATCTTTACTTAAACAGTAAACAACATCTGAAATGAAACAACGCAGCGTCATGGATAATGCAAATCTATGTATTTACACTAATTTTCCTCATAATTAATTCCTACATCCGTAATACTATACTATATTGCACTTTTTCACTTCGTTTTCACTTTGCACAAACCAATTAACTTATATCGGTATGTGGAATTGATCATAATAAAAGCAAATAAAAAATTTTGAAGCGATGATTCGGTTAATTTTCCTAATTCAAAGAAATGTAGAAATTAGCCATACCGAGAATGAGCAAAATATAATGCTTTTAATTAAAAAATGTTTTTAATGCTATTATCCTGTTCCTTATGTTCCACATCTCTTTTTTGTTCATTTTTGAATTTTCTGCATTGAAAGTTTATTTTTTCAAACAGTTCCACTCATCCTCATGAAATGTCTTCTACATCATTACAACATACTACGAAGTATGAGATATCATCTCAAGCTGTATAATTTTTTTAAAGTAAACAACAGCAGTAACAATATCATACAACTAAAAACTTTTTTTTTTTTGTTTCATTAAGAAAAACAAACCACTCACCGAATCTGATCGTTTATGCCGACAACTATATACAGATATAATTGGATACGGCAAGAACCCAATTATTTTGGGAAATACTGTAAACGATATTTGTCCTAGACCACTTTCTTTAACATGTACTACTGCAAGATGAATTAAAGATAGATGAAAAATAGTAGAAAGACAAAAAGTTATCTGAAGAATTCTTAGTCCTTTTTAGATCTAAAAATCAATGATTTCGAAATTTCAATAGGGATTAATAAACATCATTTCAAAAAGACAAAGTAAATAACAGCAGATGTTACAAAAAGTACTCCATCAAAGCTTAACATTAGGAAGAACATTAAGAAAAATAAAGTTTCGAAAATCTGAAAAAAAAAAAAAAAAAAAAAACGGATGGACAGTTCCTTGTTGTAAAAATTCCACTGACAAAATAGGAAAATCGACCGAGAAAACTAAAGTTTGAAATGTACAGAAATTACAAATCCAACCTTAAAATTTGAACCTTAATAGTGAATTCATTTAAAAAAAAAGTGGAAAAATGCACACTTACATTTATGTTTCTGACTTATGGTCCAAAAACATGGATCAGCGTCAATACCGACAACTACTGTTTCTACACGATTTGTTAAACTTCGCAGTGAAACAATCATATCACATGCATCATCAACACGACAAAGAATTGCACCAGGTTGTGATGAAAGCAATTGTGCACAAAGTTCATAATCTGGCTAAAAACATAGTTTATCAAGTTTCAAGATTCTAAGAACTTGAATAATCGAATTCGAACCTTTTTTTCTAAACTAAATTTCAACAATTTTCAACAAATCCTAATACTTATCTACTGAGCAAAACACAGCTGCGTAATAACAGATTTCTGGAAAGAAAAACAAATGTCATAATGTAAAGTTAACATTTCCTCACTCTTTCCTCTTGAACTATATTTTGCGTTCTTAGTATAACAGTTTTAAATAATAATATACCAGATTAGAAGGATTTCAGGTTTTAAAAAATGCTTGAATTTTTAAGTAAAACCATGAAATTTTAAAGATGCAAAGATAACTAGCCGTTTTGCATTGTACAGGGAATTCATCAAACAATGTATATTCGCGATCATAAATTAATTCATCCTCATTAGTATGCTCGTCCAATGATTTCACTCGATATGTAAACCGTAATTCATAATGCTCAACCTCATCCGTTTTTCCTTTATTTGGTGGTAGAATCCAGACTAAACGGTATTTACATCCTGGTTGTATGTCCTATAAAAAAATAAATATTTTTTATGCTGAAATATGTCAGTCAGTGCCAAAATTCAAAAAAAAAAAAAAAAAATCAAGATCCAAAATTCAAACACATCAATATTCTTAACTCATTACAAAAAAAAAAAAAGAATTACAAAACTCATATTTTCTATGTAAATAACCACATCTAACACAAAACATTTATATATAAATATATTAATAATAATAATAAAAATAGTAACGATAATTTTACAGATGGTTTAGCAATTTGGTTAAGGATAAAAGACTACATGCAAAAAATTAGAAATAAATTAAAAAAGTATGAAGTAATAAGAAATATCAAGTAATTACTGAAGTTTTGAAATGTGCACAAAAAATTCCGACTAACTGTAAGCTTAGGATTTAGCAATTTCGCCGGCATTTGCAGTGAATCGTTACTTATCCTGCTCAGTATAGCATCTTGAGGCATAATCAACCATTCGTCAATGCTTCGCAAAAGTGCTAATTCGAAAAGAACGCTGAAAAATCTAGTAACATTTTAATGTTAATTTAGAAAATGTCCACAGAAAAAGCGAAACAGCATAACTCAATCAAATTTAAAATTGCAGTTTAAAATTTTTGATAAAAGAGACAGAAGGACTTAACCTTTCTTCCAGTAAAGAAGTATCACTATCAATATTCATAAACGAAATAAAATTAACCGTAAAACTCCACTCTTCATCCATCCATTTTACCAAAATCTGAATTCGAACTCATTCCGAATATTTCCATAAAAAATATTCCTACGATAAATTAGCTTATTTCGATGATAGTATTATTACTGATACCTCGGTAAAAAATATGCTGTTTTGACCAGAGTATTTTCAAGTGGAAAACCCATTCATGACACCGTAAAACCATGAAGAAACACCTGTGCAACAGACGTCGGTAGCCCACTTTTCACATTTTCTTCACTGTTTGAAAGATTGCGAAGGATTTTATACAAATGAACAGTGATAGTTTTATTATTTCCAGGAAGTATACGAT